TTCGGCTACGGCCCCGTCAGTCGGACCGGACAAGAGTCATGTCCGAGTCCTTAGGGCTCTGGGCTGGGGTCTGTGAGAGGGGGTGTGCCCGGATCCCCCTCTCCCCATCGTGGGAAGCAAACGGGCCGACGTCTCAAAGGAGATCCAGGAAATTAACAGAATAATTAACTTGGACGCCGGGAGGCGATCTTTAGGGTGGTGGGATCACGGGACTAGGGGGTAGAATTGGAAAAGAGACGGACCCCCACGGGTGAGGGGGGGACGCGTTTACAGTCCTTTAGTTGCCATTTTTCCTGGGTGGTGGGATGACCTGAGCCAGATTTCTCAAACATTCACAAGGGAGAGAGGGGCGGTTCATAAAAACTTAGTCCTGGTCTACACAAGGACCTTCATCTGAAATAAGACCCCAAAACTCGATTTTGTTAGTGAAGCATCCACATGAATTCAAAACTGTTACTTAGGAAGAAAGGACTGTGGAATTCGAGCCTCATGGTCCTGCTTTTCATGAGGAATAAGGGTTTTTCTGAACTTGTATGTCTGAAATAACATTAATGTGGCTGCTTCAGTGCAGCTAATTAGAACTAATTGGCCTCTGGGACCCCTCCCACAGCTCCCCAGGGAAAGCCCTGGGACTTTGAGTGTCAGGTAGCACATCCCCATCCACACAGTCTGCCTTGGACTACAATCCATTCTTGCCTGTATTGGGGGGACAGATATTTCAAGTTGTGAAATCGGGTGCCCAGAAGTCAAAATCAGTATATTTGAAATAATCAACTAGTGTAGACATGGTCATGCAAAATTACAGCCTCGCTGCAGGGATGCATGGGGGATATCAGAACATTGTGGGCCTAAGTTTCTGATGAGCTCATCATCAGGTTTTGAGTACCCAGTTCCAAAAGCTGGGGCACATTTTCTAACGTGTCAGCATGAAGCAGCAGGCAAAGGGGACCTGACAAGAATCCGAAAGGGGCTCAGAACTCAACAAGCAGAGTTTCACTGAATCCTGGGAGACTGAACTGAAGTTTCCAAGGATCTCCTCTGGGTATCTTGGAGGGGTGGCTAGTGCCATGTTTGGTGGGTGGGAAGGACTGTTCTCTCATCTTTCAGAGGAGTTGTGAGGTGTTTGTCGGGTTTTACTGATTGCCGGCTAGGCAGGTCTGAAGAAGCATTGAACTGCATGATCCCCAACCAGAGATGTGCGATAAAACAGACATGCTCCCTCCATACTTGGCCAACACAGCCCTTCACACGGATTTGCGGAAAGCTAGCAAGGGCTCAGCTCTGTGATGCACAAGGGATCCTCCACCCATGGAACTTTGCATGTAACAGTTTAGCTGCATGCAGGTCTGTCAGAGCCTGCGACGGAGGAGTAATTCAGAACACTCACCATTTGCTTTTTGGAGTTGCTCTGGGAAAGAATCACAGAGAAAAGAGAAAGAGAAAAATAATGAATAGCCGTCTATGTTTTAGCCATCTGTAGAGCAAGATTAATACAAATGTTGACAATGGTTATTGGCCATTTAGCGGGAAAGAGCCTTTGCCAGCTCTTGTCATTCTAAGGAGCTGGTCACATGCCCATTTTTCTGCCCAGAACGCTAGGAAGGAGATTAGGTCCCCTCTGTATTGAACAATTTCAGCAGAAACTTTTACAGTCATGTGCTAGTGGAAACGAAGTGCATAGGGCACAAATCTAACTCTCGTAAGATGGGTATCAGCAAATGGGCTGTGTCCATAAAAGAGAGAGTTACTCACCCTGTGCAGTAACGTCTGTTCTTCGAGATGTGTGTCCCCGTGGGTGCTCCACTCGAGGTGCTGGGTCCGTCCCGGCGCCGCAAAATGGAGAAACTTCCACAGCAGTAGCCCTGCTGGCCCGCGCATGCGTTCCTGTTGCCTCGCGCCATTCGCACTGTTACAGCTGAGCGCGGGCCGGCTTGTCAGTTTCCTCCCAACTGGAAGCATCTGAAAGAGATAAACAGAAGCTCCGAAGCAGGGAGGAGGGTGGGTCATGGAGCACCCACGGGGACACACATCTCAAAGAACAGACGTTACTGCACAGGGTGAGTAACTCTCTCTTCTTCGTCGAGTAGTGTCCCCGAGGGTGCTCCACTTGTGGTGAGTACACAGCAGTGGTCCAATGCTAATATTAACTTGTGCTGCGCTTTGGTCGGCACCGAGGACTTGAGGGGAAACAACGGTGCCGACTGCAACATACTGGCAGGCAACAAAGCAGCCTCCATAGTCTGGTTGTTGATTGGCTGGAGGCTCGGTGTCGCTGGAATAGCTGGCTGCAGGACAAGTGGAGGCAATGTCAGTGCCGAGAGCTGCACAGGAACGGTGCCCTCCTGCGGCGCCAACTCTGGTGCCGGTGCCTCCGGCATCGGGGAGAGCGAAGCATTAGAAGAAGACGATGCCAGCACCGCTGTTGTGGGTGCCGGCACAGCTGTGCTCATCCGCACATGTGCAGGAAATGCTGGTGCCGGGGTGGCCATTGCCGGCTTCAGAACGGCCTTTGGAGACGTTGCTGGCACCGACTCTGCCCGTGAGCCTTTTGCGGGTGCCAGGGTAGAGTCCTTGCAGCGGGCTACGGTTGGGGCCGAGGAACTATGGCCCTTGCCTGACTTCTCCACGGGATTCTGGTCTGTCTCCGCTGCTCAGCCTGACCGCCGTCTTCGGAGCCCTGTGGGGAGTCTCTTGTGTGGGGTGATCCTTATGCATTCCAGTGGTGAGTGACTCGGGCATCTCCAGTGTCTGAAGCGCTTTGTTAAATAAGAGGACCCTCAATCTTAGCTCCCAGTCTCACCTGGCACGCGCCATCAGCTTACCACATTGGCTGCACTTTACCGGGACATGTCCGTCCCCAAGACACTTAACGCACTGGGAGTGCCCATCCGATGCCGGCATGGCATCCTGGCACTGGGTACACTTTTTAAAACTAGGTGATCCTGGCATAGTCCTTAATTTCGGTGAGAGGCAACTTGACAACACAGGGGAAAAAAAGGCTTTTTTTTTTTTCCCCCCTCCAAACTGAACAGGACTACAACTAGAGAAAACAACTACATTAACACTAATAACTATAAGAAAAAATGAGAACAATTTCCCTTTCTCCTCAGATTGCTGCCAAGTGCACTTTCAACGAAGCATTTGCTAAGCCCTCCGTCTTCAGATGGAAGATGTAGTCCAAAGTATGCTGCACCGGTAAAGAAAGAGGGTCAAAGTCCCTTTCCAGACACCACGCTTGGAACCGGTGCCATTTGTAGGTGTAGGCCTTGCGAGTGCTATGGTGTCTGCTATTCATAAGTACATGTTTCACTTCCTGAGAGCAAGTCATTTCCAGTGGCTGAAACCAGTTAGGAGCCATGCCGTAAGATGCATGTGATCGATGCTAGGATGCAGCATCGAACCGTGCCATTGAGACAGTAAGCTGGGCATCAGTGGAAGTTGTTGTGGCTGAGCGACCGACATTCTGG